GAGCCTCTATATTACGTAGGTAGTATGCTAGATTGTAAAAATTAGCTGTTTTACATACGGAAAACCTTTGCACTGGGCGTTTTAATACCACATTGTCGAAATAATTCTAATTCTAATTAGTATTAGTAGCAGCAGCGATAGCGGTGGCGGTGGCGGTAGCAGTAGTATCCGATTATTTGCAAGTCAATGCGCTACAGAGTACTGTTTTAATTTAGCTTTAAGCTGTTTTGAACGTCTCGTTTCTTTTGTCATCTCTTGCATTAACGTTCAAAATGAATGCCCGTCACTGCGATGACGACAGGAGAAACGATCAATAGTTTTTTTTAATAATATTTTATTTTGCAATTTGTTTGAGTACAAAATTTGGCAAAAATGCATACAATTTTTTTTAATAACATGAGAGGAGTAAGGTCCATTGACCGGACTCCTAATATTCTTTTTTTTCTTTTTTTTCAGATAAGAAAAACGCAACACCTACCAACACACACTAAACAAATTGATTAAGCTATAACTACACATATGGCTAAGGAATTAATAAACACGATGATAAGCATCAACTTTATTTAATATCAATTAAAAACAGAAAACTAGGATACAACAAATGTATATGTCGATAGGTGTCAGGTCTAAAGTATGTTATATGCGTTTAAGTCGTCTGGTAGTGTCATATTGTCTAGTGAATGTTAATGGCAAGTAACTCCGTTTTGAAATGTTATGTAGTCCGTTGTAAGTATTTTGCGCTGGTCTTGTTAACCTTTTCTTCTTTTAATTGACTTGACAGTGTAGTCATCGGTTGTATTGTGGCGTTCCTCTCGTACAAGGAGGCATTTGGACAAATTTTCTTAAGCCTTTTAGAGTTGGAAGGCGTTGTAATATTTCAATATTTGAATTTGAGCTCCATCCCCAAAGCTTGTATTCCATATGTCCAGACAGCGTTTTAATAAATGCTTATTATTAACAGAACCGGAATTTTGTTTTTGCGATATTGGCTTAATGTTGATGAAGTTTTTCTCCTCACAAAGGCCAGTTCTAATCTGATGAGTTTTGAGATCTACATCTTTTGCTTTTATCTTTATATGTTGGGGTTTTCCATGGTACCAAGTCTTCTGGTCTAACAGTGGGTAATTCCAAGACTATTTTTGCTGAGTCGTTTTGAGGAATAGATTGGTGATCCGATTTTTATAGGAGGCGCATGTTTGTGCCTTCCAGAGTGAAACGGTTGGAACTTTAGGCAGACTTTTTGTCATTTGTTTGAGCTGCCAGCGTCTTCTGCCACTGTGAATGGATTGCGCAATGATGTCTTGTCTACGAGTCGTGATGGCTTCTGCTGATCTTTATGTCGAGCTAAGATGGCTGTTCATCCGCGATGCGGTTGCTGTCAAATGCGTTTTCTGATGTTGGAATGTCGGCAGTGTAATAATGTATAAAGGAAAGGTGCAAGCACACTTCCTGGAGGAACCCCCGAATTTTATAGGGATAGTTCTGAAGTTAACTGTTAAATTTTAGTCTTTGAATAATATCTCTCCGTGAGGTACGATTTTACGTAAGAGATAGTAAGGATATGGTAAGTTTTTGTTAAATGTTATACAAATAAACCTGGGTAGAGCCATGCCCTTTATCAAATGCCTGGCTTATGTCGAGAACACAGCAGTAGCAATATTCTTTATTTTCTAGCGATTCACTAATTTCGTTTACTATTCGCATGGATTTTGTTAACTACTAGTCCGAATGGCTTTGTCTGAATCCAAATTGATGATGGGGTGCTTATGGTCTTTTTTCTTATAGAACGTGGATTCAAACGGACAGAGTAGTTCTCAAAAACTTTGGATAGTGTTGGTAGATAGACTATTTGGTCTGGTATCGATACTAGCTCATGCTTGGTTTGCCCGGTTTCATAGGGATGACTATTACTTGGGTTTCCTATTTTTTCAAGAGAGAGAGAGAGAAGGTCCTAGATCTTAGATATGGCATTGAAATGGAAGTAATTAACGGCTATCAATGTTTTCTTGGGTAGATGGCGTAGAATTGTTAGAATTAGACAATCATAGTCATATCCGGGAGTTTTTCTTGTTTAGCGAAAATTTTTTGGGATTATGTTTCAACTTTCTCGAGCACTTACGGACTGATTTGGGGAGCCTAGTTCTAAACGGTGACATCTAAGCGAAGGTTGTAAATTCTCTTCCTCTCTGCTGGCAGATGATTTGTGGAGGAATGGTTGAAAGACCGTAAAGAGAAATAGAGAGGCAACGCATTCCGTTGTTTCTCTTCGTCGCTCTTACAGTCCCATGTCACCATCAGTTTTTCCGGTCGATCACAGAGCGAATAGGTTGTTATTGATCTCTATCAAGGCACTTGGTGGTTTTTTTCCCAAACGAAGAGTATGCTGAATTTGAATTGGAGTCAGTCTTATAAGTTTATCTTGTAGAGCGTTGTTTCGGTGTTCTCAGAAAGTAATCTGTTTCAGGGTTTTATAGAAGCTGAGCATCTTATCTTCTTGGTTAGTTGCTGGATCTTCTAGTGATGTTGCCATTGCTTCTTGGTGTTTATATTTGCGTCTTTGCTTTATTCCCACCTCTGTTCCTTATTATATTGCATGTTGGCATATTTGGGTTGTTTTATGTTGCTCTATTTCTGGTGCTATAGAATAACCATGCGCTTGAGAGTGTCTTGTTACCGTATCTTCGTACTTGCTTCTATTGTCACTCTGGAGAGCAGTCTTTCAATGGTAGACTTTAGCATGCTTTGTTATTAATATTATGCGCACTTCTGTTATAAGTATGTTCCAGTCTGTTTGGAGGTGTTGTATGAACATTAGAGCTTTGCCTTGTTGTCTCCTTCAATAATGTAATGAGCTGTATGTATTACGTAGAACTGGTTGAATGGTCAGATTGAATATGATCCTTCGTCACCAGTAGGTGCGAATATAACTTTGGTTTAACAACTTTTACAATAACGAAAATCTACAAAACATCAGGAATTTTGTTAATTGTCAGTCGGCCAATGATGTGGGTTTGTCCAGCGCAGTAAGTGCGAGAACCTAGTATATATCAGATATATCTATACGATTCATATACAGTAGAAGATTTCCCTTTTGGAGATTGGTTAGTGCTGGAGCCCCAGAAAAAAAACAAAACAAAAAAAAAACAATAAAAAAAATTAAATGAATAAAAAATAACAAAAAAAAAAAAAAAAAAAACAAAAAAAAAAAAAAAACAAAAAAAAAAAATGACAAGCGATGCTTAGAATCTGTTAGTGCAACGCAGAAATAAATCTTGGAACCAAGTGGTTTTTTTGAGAAAAAGAAAAACTTTGGGGGTTGGGGGAAACACTACAAACATGATTAAGATGATTCTGAATTTATTTGTGTTTTGGAGGGTCAGTAAATACAGCTGCAATAGTTCAATGTTCCGAATCATCGCTTACTTGGAATGGATGTTGCCTGCAAATACATGGTGCATATTGAGAATGTGAAATGATGTTTAATTTTTTCCCAACGGAACAATTATGGCTGTCCCATGTGCTGTAGCCATCTGGATGGTTTCTGTGTAATAATACTGGTGGTTCCTATGAAGCGAAGCTCTATTAGTGAAATGAGTTTCTGAAATGAAGCATTATGTCTGGTAATTTGTTAACTGAAGAAAACATCTTAAATTCATCTCTGTGTTGTAACAAGCACATTGCGTCCATGCTGCTGATTCTTTAATATGATTTGTTCACTAATTTAGTTTTAGCTAGTTTTGACATCTACAGGACGAATTTAAAAGTGCATTTATCTGTTCTGCTTGTCTGCTTAGTAATAGTTTTCAAATCTTTCGAAAGACTGCTGATTACTTGAGAAATAATTGATTATTAGACTCCATGTTAATGCATTATTGGGTTAAGGTATTCTTCTGTGTGAGCTGTTCACAGCTTGTGCATAAGTACGCGGCTGATGTAAATTATTTGTTGAAGTAGCTCTCGTTGTGAGACGTTTTCTTGAATCTGTATTCACTTTAAGTCTTGTGACAGCAACATAGTTTTGAATGTTGAAGGGAGTTTTTGGTTGCCATGTGGATATCTGTTTTTATTAACGTATTTTTTGATAAAATTTTAATCCACACTATATTATGATGTTTTCGTAACCCTTATCTCTTTAATACTCGCCGGTAGGTGGACCATCACAAAGAGGCACAATTTTTGGAGAATCGTCTTTGTTTTTCTTTTTATCAGCAGTTTTTGCTTATGTGATTCTCACCGCATCCACTAACACATCGATAGGATGCACTCTGCAGTAGTGCTTGTGTCTCCCAGCTTTGGGCAGCGATGCGCACTAGGCACAAGATCTCGCTTACTCTTGAGCCTTTCTT